GCCTGGCCGGCTCCTTCGCCGTCCTCATGTTATTCGAATGGCCGATTTGGTGCTCGTTTCGGCAACCTTCCTGGTAGTAACCCTCGTAGAACTCGGTGAAGTTGAAGCCAGTCGCGGTCACGTGAAAGCTGCCATTCGCTGCACCGATCTCTTGATACTCGCGATTTTGACAATCCAACGAGCTCACGCTACCACAGCTGCTACCCCTTGATCTCGGCGGTTGAGGATAGATCTCCTGATGAATCCAGCTACGAGGATTCGACTCTGGGCTACTCGCCGACCCGTAACCCTCGGAGTCTAACAGATCGTACTGTTGGAAACTTGTGTAAGCGGTCATTCTCACGGAACGTCTGTGTCTCTTCGGTTTACTCGAACTAACGATACTCGACGACGTGTAACGTGGTATTTAGAACATGATACACTAGAACTGTTCGAAGGAACGACCTCCTCAGGCAACTGTCATCTTGTCTGGTGAAACGAACGAATTGACGAAGTCGACGTTCTCGCGATGGACACATTCGGCCCCCTCCAGAGGACAGAGCGTACGATCAAACTACCAATTGATTGATCCTGTCGCGATATATCATGTTTGATCGATGCGTGAAACTGATCGGAAGAATCGAATGGACTCACTGGATCCTTTGGATGACCGTGTATGCTTCGCGTACGGAAGCGTTGCGTAAACTGACTTTACCTGGCGATCTCGTGGTCTGGACCATGCTGCCCAGTTTTCTTAGGGCCCGATGGTGGGGATGGAGGACTACTGGGGCCCACGTGGAAGGGATCCAGGAGGAGTGGAAGGGGTCTACAGGGAAGTGGGCATCTCTTTGTAGAAGCCGCACGACCGGACACGCCCCTCGTCTTCCTTCGTCCTTCTTCGCTGGGGGCTCTGGAAGGTAGAGTCAAAAGACGATCGACGCGAAAGAAAGGCGCTCTATCAAGTGGCACGCACGGTCATGGGACGAGGCGCCGCGTTCTTGACATTTGAGACACGGCAACTAGCCGCTGTTCGATTTTTCTTTTTTTTCCCCTCCTCTCTCCCTTCGACTTTTCGTTGCGGACGCGCTTCCATCTCGTGACCCTCGCGCAAAGGGGATTTCGGCCGGAGTTGCCATACGATCGCTGTTGTTGTAAATCGTTCCAAAATGTCTGTTCGAAAAACGTGCAAGGATTCGAGTATTTCAGAAGCAACGCCGATCTATTTCGTAGATTAAACTGCGTAGAAAAACGACGATTGCGAAGATTTTTTTGTTTTAATTCTCTTTGAAATTTACAGCCGTTTATGCTGTCCCTTCTCGTTGCAGTTGTCATTCGATTGTTTATCGATGACGCGAAATATGGCCTTTGACCCGTCAATAACCGTGCAAACGAACCTCAGGCTATAATTAATACATATCGTCTATTTCTGATTCTGTCTTTTAAAAATTAAGTAATAAAGTTTTCGTGATACGATATTATTCTTTGCATGTACACAAATATTTTGGACATTTATACGGCTGAAGTAAATCTCGCCTGAGATTTCAAACGCTCCGGATAAAAGTTATTAATCAAAGAAAATAACATTGGAAATCAAAAGGATGATAATACGATGAAAAATATACACGTTTGTTTACTTTAAGCAATTTATCAGTGAACAGAATAATGGCGAAAAGAACGCACGAAGAAAGCAGTGGCTTCCCAAGAATATAAATTGGACGTTAAATCATTGTCCTTCACGCAGATACTTTGCAACCTGTAAACGAGGGCCAAAGTAATTATGCGACTCGTTGGCAACTTCTTTCTCGTCCTCTTTTTCCTCTTCGTCGCCGTCGTACTTTATGGCACTTTAAATACAGAGGGGCTGGAAAGTGTGGACAAATTTGACTGGTTTACGAGGGTTGCACGCGGTGCACGTCCATTCCGTGTAGATGGTGCAGATTCTTCGAGAGGTTTGCTTTTTTTTTTGTCCTTCTAAATCTCCGCTTTTTATCAGAGATCGTATCTCTTCCTTTAATGTATGTATTCCAGCTACTTTATACAGTGTACCGTGTGTATCGATAATTTACGTCAAGTATTACGTACTTACGTTAAAAAAGTCTTTATTCATCGTGATGAATCATGTGCACGAACAATATTTAAATTATAACGTAAATTGTTTTTCAAACTGTTCATAGAAGGATATACGATGAATTTACTTGCAGCATAAGTGTAAAAAAGATAGGAAAATAATAGAGGATTTAAATGCATAAAAAGATAATACTAAGTCAACACGACTATAAAATATAATAAGAAATAGTTATAAAAATCTATGGGAAACTACCTTTAATATCGCTCCTTAATGTCTCTCCTCTTTGGTTTGTAAAAGTTCTTTAGTACGAGTTTTACGATCAACCTAAGTCGTTGAAAATATTTCTGTAAAACTGGTTTATTGTTCTAACGTCTTCGAAAATACGTTTATACGTTGTACAAATAGCAGAACTGGCGTAACAGTGGCAAAGACTATTGCATAAGAATACTACGAACGAGGAAAATCAGTTTTCGATATTTCAAGTTCACATATTGCGAAACATGTGAATTCTACGTTTCACGCTACAGACGTGACAAATTCACGCGAAAACGCCTTTATTGACGAATCTTATTGTACGCGAATATTTTTACCAACGTAAATAGCTATGTTGGTCCTCGAGTTTGCCATACCACTTAGACCCACGACACTTTATGAACATTTCCGATTTAATAGATGTTATATAAACGATCTCCTGTTGGTATATTGCAGAAACATTTAGGATAACAGTGTTAAACAAATTACATTGTTCCATTGGAATTGGTTTACTTAATATTACGCGTAATTTAGTATTTAGGCTTCGGACGTACACAGAGATCCATATTTTTATGGACAAAACTGAGAAACTAGAACGTAAGGCGAGACGTTTGTTTCAGCTACCGTATATTTCCATTAAACGACTAACGACACAAAATTCCATTCAACGATTAACGTACAGTTCCGTGCATAATTATAAAATCAACCTCGTTTTTACAGTTGTCGTAATATCAAAATAAAAATTGACAAAATCGTTTATTTCGTTCCGTATCATAACATAAAACAAAACGAAGGATACGACAAATAAAAATATTCATTTTAACTTGAACGAAGAACAAACAATTACATAAAATTCATTCGCGTTATAACGTTCGAGGTTCGCGGAATAAGCTCCTTCTTCTCGGACCCTTTCGTTAGGAAAGTGATTTTGTTGAAAGAGATCAAACACAGTTTCGTATCAACGGGCAAAAATATAATAATCGACGTGGCAATTTTTTCACGCGACGTAACGAGACGAATGAGGCAAAATCGATTAACCTTGGGCCGGCAGCAGCCGCAAACCAGTGATTTTCGAAATTCTCGGTCCCAGGGAAATTCCAGTTCAGGGTTGTATGGGCGTACCTCATTTATTTCCCTCCTCTTTTTCGGAAACTCGAAGTCACTTGGCTGTTTGCAAAAGGCGGCAGCCTCAAGAAGCTCATTATCCTCTGCTAATACCCAACAAATGAGCCGACCCTTCGTGCCCGACCCACAAAGAGAGAGCAACGTGCACAAAAGGGTAGCGTCGTTCGTGTCATGTTTCTTAACAGTCTTGAAGCATATAGTGGACCACGGATGAGGGGTCTGCGGGGTGTTGTGCGGATTATAAACAAACGGTTGCTGAGCATGTACATAACTGTATATATACGTTTGTACACGAACATTCAAACATCGCTATGTCAATAAGTGGAATTTTGCTTATGATTTTACCGTAGCAAAGTTTTCTTTGTCCTACGATATTAAATTACAGACGAGCAATGTAATTATTCTAATATATTAATTTGCCAAATAAGTATTTAAATTGCCGCTTTTAAACGCTATAGTAGCGTCCGACTTACGAATTACATATCCGCGTACCTTTCGAATCCATAAAATCCATATTTCTCGAATTTTGCTTTATTTGCTTATTTCTACAGACGAGCAATGTAATTATTCTAATATGTTAATTTGCCAAATAAGTATTTAAATTACCGCTTTTAAACGCTATAGTAGCGTCCGACTTACGAATTACATATCCGCGTACCTTTCGAATCCATAAAATCCATATTTCTCGAATTTTGCTTTATTTGCTTATTTCTAGACCGTTATGTCATTACACCGCTTTATATCGATCATTACTCCTCAGTTTTCACGTCAAATGTTTTTTTTTTTTTGCAAATACTTATACAATATCCTGTTTCATAACGTAGTATCATGGACGAGGGGCCTGGGGGGTGTTGCGCGGATTGTAAACAAGCGGTTGCTGAGCGTGTACGTAGCGAGGCTAAGGCAAAAGACCGGGGGTTGTTAGAGGACAATAAACGAATTAACAGCAGTACGAGTTGAGATGTCAGAGAGTGCGGATTGCGTCGATGAGAATCGCTGATTAATTACTTCGTCGTGTTAATTATTATACGTTTGCTGCGATTAGTTCATGTTTAACAAACATCATTTTCTGTTCAATTAACACCTGTTTAATCTACTTATCATTAATAAACTAAGTATAGTAGTTACCATACTACAATTTGGGGGCTCGTCCATGTGATTGAACAAGTGTTAATTGAACAGAAAAAAATGTTCGTCAAACATGAACTAATCGCAGCAAACGTATAATAATTAACACAAATAAGTAATTAATTGACAACACTAATCAACGCAATCCGCACTCTCTCACATCTCAACTCGTAGCGCTGTTAATTCGTTTATTGCCCCCTCGCTACGTACACGCTCAGCAACCGCTTGTTTATAATCCGCACAACACCCCCCAGGCCTCTCGTCCATGATCCTACTTTTCCCTGTGGTGGGGGAGGGGGGAAATCCAAATTCGTCTTTGTTCGACAGTTGCACGTAGCGACGAGATTGTTTTGACCTTTCCTTATATATTTTTTTATATCTTGATACTCCGAGGCAAATAACAACATGATTTGAATTGTCCTCTAACTCATGTGCCGCTACATCATCCCCTCCCCCCCACCAGTGATAACGTTTTTTATGTTATAGTTGCAATAGGTTTTCTTTGTACAATATTATATTATGCCTGAGACTGTCGAGTGTATGAAATTTATCCTACTATAATCGTTCTAAAATATTCGTAATAAAAAAAAAGAATCATCTTGTTGGGGCGGGTTTGGACAATGCGAACTGGTACTACGACTTTGTTTCAAATGTTTTCCAATTGTTATTTTTTTTAATTCATTTATTTAGACTCGCATCCACCTCTGAGAGCTGTTAGCGACTACAGTTATACAATTATTGTATGTCATAGACTTGTACAATTCTATATTACATTGGTGTACGTTATTGTTTGGTGATAAATACGTGCAATATCTACATCGCATTGGCGAGCATATTTCTATACTTGTGACACGTGTCGGTTGTAGCGAATGCCGTTATTTCGCTCAAGTGGGAAAGCTTCGCGTCTTTTAGAAACTGTAAGAGTCGTTTCATTTCTTCCTTCTCGCTTAGAATCGTCTTGAGATCGTTTGGAACGTACGGCGTGGTCGTTCATTTTCGTTTCATTTTCTCGAATTATTTCAATCGTTTATGCCATTGGATTCTATTCCAT